TGGATTACAGTGGTCCCTTCTACTATCTTACACTTACAGTAGAAACAACGGGAAGCATTTTGGCGGTGTCCCAGCGTAAAGTAATCTTTTTCCGTAAATTGACATTGTTTTATTTTCATAAACGATGTTTTTTCATCTTGTCTCCTGTGCCGCATCATTCGTATTTTATCCAAGTAAAATTGAATTCAAACACGTTATGTACAAAGAATGTAACAAATATCGGAGCACAAACCAACCAGAATAAAGCGGCCTCTATTTTCTCTACTTTTTCATCACTAGCAAGTGTTCTAATATCATTACAGGGGGCTGCTAAATAAACATGAATCGCGTGGCTTTTTTACGCACAAAATTGGCCGATTTGTATCTTGCCCGTGAAGGACTGTCGTCATGGTGGCACAATATCTTATTCCCTGACTGAATTATTCAATTTGTAAACGTTGTCAACTTTATTCGTTGTATAGTAACTTGACACTAATGAGGTAAAAGTATTTGTAAACCATTCCGGTATCTGTTCATCGAGTGTGCTCGGGAGAATTTATGCCCCTCTCCCAGTTCTAGCTGACCACTTTTCCGCGCAACCAAATGATTGCAGTTTGATAAATTATGGCTATTGCTATCGATCCAATTATTTTATCGCCCAGCTGAGGAATGGTCTCCATACTGACAATCCTTCAGATTCACATAAATCATCCAAAGAGACATGTTCATTCTTTGCCACCCAATTCGTCAATCAATAAATTCGGGACACTGTAAAGTAATAATTAACTGTTTATGGAGTCAAAGGGTTTTGTTTTGAAGATATCTTATTGATATATGAATTCGTTTCATCCGACAGTTTAAAATATTATATATTTTCCAAAGAATCCACAGCAGACTTGCTTACCGAACAACCTTACTCACGAAGTTCGAAAGAATTAGCTTCCAATGAAGCAATGAGCCTTTTTTCAAAAAAGTGTAGACCACGTGTCCTGATGCAATTTCCAACTGATTGCCTTCGGATCTTTCAAATAATAGATATTATAAGCACTGATATATTAATCATACAGCAAGAAACTGATCTACTTAGGGAGGAAACGCAGCAACAATGATAACAGAAAGAATTCTAATTGCGCAAGAAATGACCACGATATTTTGTCACCCGGCTTTATTCCTGTACTCATTTGAGCTAATTCAACACAATTGTGCAATTTGATTTCCATATGAAACCCCAGCGATGTTTACCGGCACTCCACAGACTATTTGAACACAAGTTTTCGTACCGAATGATGGTTTTATTTTCAGATGGCGAATCTGACCAATCACAAGGCCGCAAGACTGAAGCTGTAATGACTTATTTATAATTACAAATTGTCAATAATATAGATACCTCCCGTACCGATTAGTGCAGCGAATGTTGGTGCAGATACCAAGAGGACGCTGCTAGCACCTGACTGATTTCAGGTCATAGTACTCACTCACTCACTCACTCACTCACTCACTCACTCACTCACTCACTCACTCACTCACTCACTCACTCACTCACTCACTCACTCACTCACTCATTCATTCACTCACTCATTCACTCACTCACTCACTCACTCACTGAATTTGTGCTATTAATTATGTCCTCAGCTTCACAACCCCCGTACAGGCCTGTAGACAGGAATCAATTCCTTTCGCAATCAGTAATCACTAATGCCAAAACAATTGAGATAAAACGATTGAGAAATGAATCAGAAATGAATTATCTGAAAATGTGTTATGCTATGGATTTAACTCTGTCTGTCGGGACGGGGAAATCAATTCGGGTGTGGAGTGATGGCTGCCGTGAACGTGCATCTGATGCGTTAATTCCAACGGGTAGTGTTGGGATGGTTTACGTCCACTGAAATCTCACAATCCGTATCACACAGATAAACAATACGCCTTGAGTCCGGCATCCACATTCAAAATGAGAGTGATACAGGGTGCCTTTCCGAACAACCTTGTGACGGAGTGGGGGTGGAGGTGGGGTAGGGTGAGATGGATGTGATGACAGTGACTCAGGTGTAGACAAACAATACGGAAAACGTTAATTTACCATCGCACAGTGTTCTTTCGGTCAATCACAAAAGTAAATCAGTAATTAATTTTGTATTTGGACTGTTCCACTCAGATTTTACAAGTATCAGGTATTAGATACGGCATTCTTGTGATTTCGGAATATGGAATGAACTCCTTCCTAGTTAATTTACCTTCCCTCCCCTCTTCCCCAAACACGTGCGGATTGAAAAAGGTTGTCTTATGACCGACAAAGGACAGTGAGCACTTGCCTCCTAATTCCTGTGATTCAGACCTATGGGGGACGACCATAGATAGTCCAAGTGACCAGCGCGTCAAACTCCCAATCAGTCATGCCCGGGCTCGAGAACCAGTGGATTCGGGGATATTATTGTTGTTGATGAGTCCCAGCAACGATAAAATGAATTTACAGTACTTCCGAGGTTTTCCAGTGCTGAATGCTGTGTTGACTCAGTGAGACCAATGAACCTTCATGAAGGAAACAAATCTCCCAAAATTTTAATGAAAAAAAAACCTCAAATGATAGAAAAGAATAGCTACTTGTCGAAGCACCGATCCTTCAGATATGGTCCGTTTTTATCCATTACGTACACCGGAGCAAAGTTAAAAATCTTGTTTTCAAAGCTTCCTCATGCCGAGGGACATGTTGGTGCTTAATGATGAATAAACCGTACCTGAGCGGATCAGCTCTATCAAAACCATCCGACCCCACCCCCAATAGATGGTAGAGAAGAATGTTAATTCTCCCCCACCCTGCAGAAATTAGGGCTGTGACTTTCCCAGTTGACTTTTAATCTTGCTACCATTTGGACGAAATCTCTTCAAAGCAATTATGTGGAATTCATTGCGTTCCATGCACGTGCTTTGTTAAATCTGAAATGGGCCTACGGTTTGAAGAAAAAATGGAGCCAACTTTTTTTGGACAATCGCATCAAACCAGTCGTTGATATGACCACTTATTCCTGAATGCATGTAACATTGTAGTGCACTGCAAGTGAATAATCACTTACCTGGTGAAAATAGTGTCAATTCTACTTGCTCTATCCTATTGCATACATTTCAGATTGGTCTGGTAAATTTTTCTCCGCATAGAATTTGGTGGCAAGTAGATTGGATTGAGGAGAAACCCGTCCAGGGAGTATGGGCATATCACGACATAGTAGTTGCGAAAAATTGTATATATGAGAAATTTTGTTTACTCACGACCTACTTTAGATTTTCTTCGCTTATCAATACTGCACAGCTGTTTATCTATAGGAGTGAACAAACCTTTCCACTTTTTCATGTCCAGAATTTTGTTGCTTCTTCAAATTGAACTTTGCGCACGGTCACTTCTATTCTCGTTGCTCTCTGTTTCTGTCACATACTCGTTGATTCGCTTGTAACACACTGATAAATCAGGGTACACAGTACAGTACCGTATACACAAATCAAGTTTACTTCGAGTATTTGTTACATTCAGAAGTGATTGATAATTAGGATTTTTGATGCAAAGAATTACTCCGTAACAGCAATTCACACAAACACCGTCTAATCGAAGACTTATTTTTTGGTCCTTAGCTAGCAGAATACGTAAATTGGTGCAGGCTAGAAGAGTATTGAATTTACTGTTCATCATTGGACTCTTTTTGGTTCATTTTTCACCTCGGTTCTTCCATAAATTAATGCCAAGTGTTTCTCGAGTAGTTCATTTATGTTTTATAGATTTGGTGAGAATAATTTTTAACACGATTTCTTCACCAATTCCGCTCCTCTGACGAGTCGTAAGAAAAATGTACATGCTAAAAGTCGATTATCGAATACAAGTGTGCAAAGTATCACATATTTACTCGGGCTAACGCAGTTTGGGGAATATTCGACACTCAGTCTCTGAAGGGAAGATGATGTCAAGTAGGTGGCAGAGTATGAAGGTAGGTAAAATTTTTCGGCTACTCATGAGTAGTGTAAGATAGTTTATGCAAAGTGGCGCATTGCGTTACTGCACAGCCGCCAAGTTTGTTCACATAACCTCTTGAAAATGTAGCTGTTCCTTAATTCACGGTGATATTTCAACATTAAAAGTGTGTTGGAAAATTTCATTTCTAAACATGACTTTAGAAAATTCTCGAATTAAATGAACAGTACTCGACTGTGCATTTACACGTGACCAACAGCCGAAAAATGAGTTTTATGGTCTACTAAATGACTCAGCTAAATAACCTTCGTCTGTCTGGGATAAACTCAAACCGCTTATTTATTTAACAAATAAAATACTGTGATCAATTGCTTTTCAGACTCTAAATTGGTGAAAGAGCGATCGGAATTAAATGAGCTTTCAACGGATTTGGTTTTCGAAGTCGTTAGTTTAACGTAGATCATACTCACGAATCACTGCTTCGATTGAGTCTACATTGTTGTTGGTAGAGAAATACATAGTGAGCTACAGACCCTTTAGTTTGTTTTCTACTCTGTAAATTAAAATTAACTACCAGAATGTGATTCAAGAATCAAGGGAGCGGAGTGCTTAAACACCTGTTATTGACCGACGTCATTTGAACTTGTATGGCCAATTCGCAGGTTACAGTGTACCAGAAAGCATGGTCAATTAACTATATCGATTCACAGATATCAAGTCAAACCGGAAAAAGCATGATATTGGATATGCTTGTGGTTTCATGGTCAGAAGGGGAGAGCATAATAACAACAACAGCAGCAACAGTCAGTTCTACACTATTCGATTTTATAAAAGGATACATTCATGCAATTTCAACGTGTGAGGGACCAACGAGCAACATTTTACTACAAAAATAGATAACAATTTGAATCGCGGCGAAACAGTGGGAGAATACATTTGATCCTACCGAGGACTTGAACCTGCAAACTTCGCTTGTGAGCAATTTTTAATAAAATCTTGTGAATATTATAAACTTTTAAAAAACTAAAATTTTATTCCATCTCACAGTACCCCTGGACCAAATCCAATGACTCAGCGTTCCGCCGCATCCTGGGATATGTCAATTTCGAACAATGCACTTCTTGGTTCGGGAGGTGAGACACAGCCACCTCTGTTGACCACACCAAATATGATGTCTGGTGATCCGATCTTGGAGTCCATTGCTGGTGCGATTAGTCAACAACGTGAAATGCTTTTACGTTTGGAGAACGAACAGCAGCGCCGGCTCCTGCAAATGCACGCTGAGGCCGAGGAACGACGTAGACGTGAGGCGGAGGCGTACGAGCAAGAATTGGCCCGCCAAAGAGAAAAGCAAAGGTAAGTAGTCTTATTCTTCCTGCTCAAACACATCCCACCTTTTTAACGGTTATTTTGCACTGATCGATTTCGGAAGTACCCCCAAAAATGGCCTGCATTGGTGGCTCTGATGGTCTCACAAAGACCAGATATAGTTGCCTTTCATAAGGATACATCGGGAGGGCGAATTACGTTGTCAAACTGGGTTTAGTCAGTTGACTTATTTCAGAACATCTCGTTACAAGTTTACAAAATCGATGTGCAAGAGAGATAGAGATCAAAATGTTTGACGAGGGGGTTAATGCTGGCTCGCCTTTCTAACGTTCTTCTGCTTCAAAAGCTAATTACCAAGACAAATTGACCAACAAAACCCAATCACTGTTGCATCCCCGACAAAAGAAATCAGATTACTAGCTAAAAGTTGTACTTATTGATCTCAATCAGATTAGTGCAATAAGAGCAAACATTGAACATTTCAGTCCAGAAAACATGACTGTTCTGTTCAGATCGACTAATGGATCATGGGTCCAATCGGGAACAAACTCGATGTGGAGATTGCACAATCACATTTACGACTATCACATACAGGTGTTGACCGAACTCGTGTAACATCACTCTCATTTGGAAATCCATTTTGATTTGCAATATTATACTTATATATTGATGACTATGGGTGACGTGTATTTATTTCTGACTATCTTTCATTTTCATGTCGTTAGTTCTCTTCTCTCACCGTTTGAATTTGCTCGACCTTGAGTTTTGTGATAAAATTTGTAGTAGTTCGAAAGTTAAATCTCAGATTTGGAAAATATTTTATGCAAAGTATTACGGGAATTCATCCTTTCTAATGAATGATTCCTGTTTCATTAGAGTGGTTATTAAGCTGAACAAACTTATCCTAAATTGCTTATTCCTCTTGATGGTGTATGGTAAATAAACCAAATAAGGAAAATATTCTAGCTCAGATAAATTGGTAAATTATTTTACCACTTACCACTCATGCATTATCCCCAATATTGAAAGAACTGAAAATATATTCCAAGACACATACAAGTTGACCTTAAGGTGTGCGGCTCGTTGAATAAGCGTTTTATAGTGTCATCATGCTCAAACTGGATAGAAGATCCAAGAGAATTTGGTATATAAATGAAGCCGAGAGGCAACTTAATCCAGAGACGCGTAATCCGACGACTCGGTTCTGAACTTGTGCAACTACTTCGATGTGAACATAAGCCCAGTTTGCTGCACAATCAATGAAATTTCTCCATCAAAACATAAACCAAGAGGGAGAAAAACAATCACATGGAAGCAAGACAATGGTTGAATTTGATCGCATCGGAGAAGAGTTGCACATAACCGATATGAAAAATAGTCCTGATGGATCAGCCGTTTTTTCATCACGCTTTCGTTTGGAAAATGATGGTTCAATTTAAAATGCAGCCGAGGTCACCTGAAACGAAACCATTATTGAACGCCGAACAAAGCAGTACAGGTATTGATTTTACCAACAAATTCAAATCGCTCCAGTCGTCCATTTGGCAATGGGTTTGTCTCACTGGTGGCCAACGAGTAACTCAGCGTACCGTGAAAGCTGATCTACTGACTTATTTTTCCAATTAACCTCGTTTTCCCTGTCAAAAGAAGTAAATATCTATCCCGCCTAACGAGTTGGAAGGGAAGTAAATATTGAGCGCCTTGTTGTCGGTTTCCTGTACACACTATCCTGAATATCGCAAAATTTCTTGCACTGATAAGGGAGGTTTTCGATAACTGTCGCTCATAAAATGCATTCGCGGAAGTAATATTTTTTACAAATGGAAGTTAGCAAATCTTTTTGCTCGAGGTTGTTAGTGGAAAACGGTTAGACCTGATAAATATTGTTTTTTCCCATTTATGCATTCTATGGAGGGGTCAATTTAAATGTGGAATTCATTCCATTACCGCCCAGCAATTAGGAGTTTAATGTATTCAAAAACTTCTACCTGTATTTTGAACAGTCATAAGTTAGCTTCCTCGGCTTTGTTACTTCAGAACTGATGCACCAGCAACCATTGTCAAAATCTAGAAATCGTGCATTTAAATGGCACTCCACTAATAGAAGTAAAGATATAAGTGGATATTATATCACATATGATGCGTTTGATGTGGGGCAATAGCATATTCAATCCTGTGAATGAGGCTGAAAAACCTAAGCGTTGGGAGGAATCCGTGAGAGGGATTTCTGGGTGTTGCACGAGTTTGCTCAACTCCACTAAGTGTGCACAAGTATATATTCCCGTGAATGCAAGTAAAGTGATGTCTGTTCAAACAATTCGTACGAGTGATTTTACAAGCAGAGTTTGTTTTACGGGTAGCGGGTTGACTGAAACCTGAAGAGACCAGAGGCACAATCTCGCACATGCAACATGCCTACAAAAAATACATATGGAACCAGAAAAGTGTTGCAAAAAGATGTTGAGACAAAGGGGTTTTTGAGCTGCAACAGTGATTGCACTCACCCCGATGCATACCGGTAGATTCATTGAATTGCTCTGACTTGAAAGTGAAGAATACCGTTTTTTAAACTTTGTTTGCGGTAATCGTTCGTAGATGAAGTTCACCAAATTCACTTGTTAAATTGCGACCAGCTAGCCAACAGCGATTTATACTCATTGTGCCATAAGTCAAGGGTTCTGTTAATCCAGTGAGCATAAATATTTATATGATAATAAGCAGTATGTGAATGACTGTACAAAACTTCCCTGGAAGCACACGACCGGTTTCGCGGCCGTCGCCGCTCGTTAGACATGCGTATCCGGTAACCTCTCGTCAGTTCATTCATATACTTGTACCCAGGAAGTGTATTTTCGTCACAATAACCTTGTTTGCAACGCCGGGTGACCATTGGATAGACAGCTCTTTCAGAGCCAGTTCAATGAAGAATCAATGCTATGATTCGATGTTTTGTAAGTGGGTTAGATGCTACTAACCGCAACAAACGTGACCTGATGGTCTTGGTGGAATATTTGATAATAAGTAGTAAGTGAATGACTGGACAAAATTTCCCTGGAAGCACACGACCGGTTCTGTGGTTCTTGCCCCTCTTCAGGTAATCTTTTGCCATTTCATTCATATACTTGTACCCAAGAAGCATATTTTCATCACAAATATCTCATTTGCAAAGCCGGGTATATTTATTTGGACAGCTGTTTTCGAACCAGGCTATTTATGAAACATTATTATGATTCGATGTGACGTAAGTGGGTTAATTTACCGGATTCGCATGGTTGAGGAGTGGCAAGAACCATGAAACCGGTCTGCCCTACTGATTCTGACTGTACACCTGTTTGATCAGGTTCGCAGACGCTACTTGAATGAATCAATCAATATTGACTGACTAATATCGAGCGTTTATCTGAATTTCTAGTGATCTGGAGCTAAGTCGTAATGTAAAAAAACGGTCATATGAACTGTCTCGTTCTTACACACACACAAACACACACACACACACACACAAGCACTCTTCTCTATTCGTACACGTACACGAGTAACTAAATAATCTTGATTTATTTGAAAGATAACCATAATAAAGCATCGTACTTTAGTGAGACACTTGTAACTATGGTAACTATGTCCTCGGAGTCATGTTCTCTATCCTGTCTCCTGCATCTGGTTATAAAAAAATACCTGTATGTAGTTAGAGCGCGTACTCTGCACGTGTATGCCTGAGTGATATCACTTCTTGAGTGGGCACAGTGCTGACTACTATTGGAAACCTACGTCCACATGTTTCCTGCATAATATTGCTATTGACTTGGCTGAGTAATCATCAACTTGTATCGGATAAATTAGGATACCTGGAATGACAGCGAATGGAATGCACACGTCTGTCCGGATCGTTCAGTCAACAGAGGGCAATACACATGCGTGAAAGGCATTAATGCTTCTTGGTTATTGGAAATAGCTACTACTCCTCTCCTCTCCCCTCCATCCAAGACACGGCCCGCCGTTCCCATGTGTTCGAGTGAGCAGCAAATGTCCAAATTTTACATCACTATTCATCTCGCCATTGTGAAATCATTCCCGAGGCCTGGATAACCATGAGGTACACGCCAAAATACATATTGGAGTACAAATTGTCCGATAACACCAGTGCATCATTTTTCGGTGACAGAGAATATGATGTGAACAAATAGTTTCTTAGTTAAACATTGGTCCTTGTTCAATTAAAATAGGAAAGGTTGGTGAAAAAAGGTGGCGGGCTGTGCGAGTTATTGCATCCCTCGGCTGCAAAACAACAAATGAGTGGGCGTTTGACTTACGATGAGATAAAAAAGTGAACCAATGTGCTAAGAGTACCACGAGCCCCATTTTTGTCATCACCTCGCATTTCTGAGTTCGGTCACTCTCAATTCCTCGGGCTCGCGGTGTACATGTACTAGTATTGGGAGGTACAACTCACTTGCGAGTAGTAGGTAACTTTCAATGATCAAAAATATAACAAGACCACCGAGGTCCAAGTGGTGTCTGAAAGAATAACTACTGAGTGCTCTGTTTATTATTCGATGTGCTGCCAGGAATGGCGATGGTATGTTTCTGATGAGATGTTTTGTGTTATGTATGGTAAATTGGTGATATCCCATCTGCAATTCTCAATAAACAGCCATCCTTGACCAAGTATCGCCTTTTGGAATCATAACACTAGTACTGATGATTCATGACCCGACTGAAACCACTAATTGCTCGATTGTATGTTTGGCTGGTTGGAATTACATGATGAATTTCTTTCTACCCAATACTACTCAAAAAGGTTTTACTAGTGCTTCATTACGACGGATTACAATATACTATGCTATACTTATTACAACAATGGACTCCATTACCACTTCATCGATATGGGGGAAGGAAGTATTTCTCATTGAACACTATGAACCCTTCAGAGTCAAACACGGAGAACTTGTGAAACTGAAACCCCACAGAGAAAATTTAGTGCTCTGTCACCCACCTAACCTCTAGCGCAAACACTGTCACCACAGATAAAATTTATTCACTCCACCAGCGGAGGGAGCTAGGTTCGGTGGGTTAATTTTTAAAAGATGTTCAAGAAGTAGCAAAAACGTCTGAAACATTAAGACTAAATTGGGATGCAAACTTTAGCACGGAAACTCCGTTACCAATCTTTTTCTTATCTCCAAGACTGAGGAGTGTCCTTTATATTGGCATGACCCACCACGATTTATGGGCGCTTGTGAATTCGACTGCCATGGTGTGCAATTTTCACTGATGTCTTACATGCCTGCCTAAAAGATTTTTTGGACACTTTGAATGTAACAGAACAGCCTACGAGCTATCTTTTACATCAAACCGAGTGACGTTCTTCGTCGGAGTGTTGGGTATACGATCTGTTATGTCCATGTTCTAAAGGGCCATATGTAAACGGTTTACATATATGGGAGACAAAAGTATTGGAGTATATATTTCGTAAAGCATGAGTCCAGTAGCTATTGTAACAAAAATAAAAGGTAACAAATATGGGTGGAAGCTGAACAGTTGAAGTACAAGCCTAATGAGTTTGTTTAACAAGCTGCGCATACAAGACGTAGGTGCTGTATCGGCTGTACATATTTATCTATCTCGTTGTTGACGGATTCTGGTTCGTCTGCATGCCTTTTTATCAGGTCAGCTCGTTTGATCCCCGATAGATTTAAATCAAGAGCATTTCGTTTCAGCGCTGTCCGTGTTTGCATTAGGTTTGTTTTTTAGGATAGCTAATTTTCAGTTACCAGGTTTGCTAACTAGGCGTTAACTCACTATCCCCCAATATTGTAATTCATAACCAGCACCAGCACCAGCACCACCACTACCGTGGAGGAATGTTCCATCAATCGTCCAAATGCGAAAATCACCTAATCAAGAGCTCTTGTAGTGCTGAGTAAAAATTTCAAACTACTATATCTGAAATACAACTTAGTGAAAAACAAACATTTTTTGAGGCGAACTACAAAAACCTTCCCTTCCGTTTCTTTGAATCAGGGAACTGGAACAACTAGAAGCCGAATTACGACGATGCGCGGCAGAATCCAAGTCGGCAAAGGATGAATTTGAGGCGGCCAAAAAGCTATGGTGCACCGCACTCCAGTCAAAAGAAGCCGAACTAGAAACACTTCGACAAAACTTGGATCTGATGCGAGCGAATACCAGTGGCAAAGAGAACGCCGCCATGGCTGCTGCTAAAGCTGAGCTCAACGAGGTTCGAGCTCAGTTGAAGAATATGCAGGATCGATATTCCGATGTTCAGGAAGAGTTGATGAGACGAAGGGAAGAGGCAGAACAACGGCTGAAAGACGTGTCCGGCGAGGTGAATGCTATGCGTCGTCGTATGTCTGATGTGTATGCTGCGGTGAAAGAACCCCGGCCGGTGGAAGTGATTCAAACAGTCCAAACCATTCAGGCGATCCCCGAACCAAAGAAGACCAGAAATGTGGGAGTTGAAGCTGAGTACGTCTCATGGAGTAGTATGAACATAAATATTGTTTTCGTAGTATGGTGAGTTTATGCAAGTCAGAAGGGTCTTTAGAGAGGAAAGCGGGGGTGAATCAGTAAATACCAATTTCCATTACACTGCATATAATGCCAGTAAAATACGAACCGGAATGTTGTTAAGGTTCAGACTTGAAAAAGTAGATGGAATATGCTTTCATATTTCATCGTTTCTATTAGAAGGTCTATTAAATACCCCTCTTTCTCTAAATGAGTAAACGGTTACTATTGAAGGCTATTTTTCGTATCACCGACAACTAAAATGTGTACTAAAATAGTCGAGCAATTTGCTGCCATCCAACTATAAATCACTATCAAACTTGGGATGTTAAAATTACCTTGATGTATTCCTAAACGCTGAACATATTGGGTGTTTTGTTGTCCGATCATGATCAACCTAATCCGCTATTCAATCAATAGTAGCCCCTTTTCGGAAAACGAAGCACAGTGTAAATTAAAGCAGCAAACTACTTGCATTCTTTTTGATCCTGTTGATGAAAAAATCAAGATTGTGTTCACGTTGCGGAATGGCCTCTAAGTATTCTAAGGAGTTTTTTTTAGTTAAATTCATCACACTGTCTGTACATATCCACTTTTGTCTGAGCTGTGATATTCGGATCCGGTTCATCACTTAGCGATAGCCTATCAGGGATCACGATGTGTCACGTGATGTGTATGTGTGAACCGAATTACATCAGGTTTATCACACGGTAGGGTAGGGTAAAGCCCACACACCAGTTGTAATTGCTCTTTTTGGGGATTCCATTGCATTGGATTCGCACAACTAACATATTTCTGAGCTTACTTTAGCGATTTAGGAGCTGTTCGGGCTACCTTTTATGGGCACTGACTACCGGGAAAGCTCTCAATCGGTATGCGCACTATTTTCCCCGGTACGAGTGGCATGTTGCAATGAAAATGATGTCCATCTTCTAAGGGACGATTTAGAAAAGGAAACTGGAACAACAACAATAGCACACAGGTTCAGTTATCGATACAAAGTCTGTAGGGACACACGCACGCAGTCCAGGTGAACAGGCAATCAGGCCGCCCTCAAATTTTGTTAATCCTGTGAATGTGGATGAATTTCAGTCTGTGCAACTGCTTAACCATGTACATTGTATGGTGCAGAGGATGAAACATTGATTTGCATAAACTGACCACGATGATGCGGGTCCAGAGTTGCACAAGACTAACGTAGATAGAATGAAGTAACAAAAACCAACATACAGCATTGTTTTACCCTCGGGGAGTACGAATCACACACACGAACATACAAAAACCATTCGCAGAGCCGGATACTTATCAAATCACATGGGCTAGTGTACAATAATAACATTGATGTGTTTTTCTCTCATCAATGGTGTTTCGAATTCCCTCGCGAACATGTTTATGGCATGTCATTCCCTTTCTTACGATTTTTCTCACACGTACACATGCGTACACAATCATTTTTTGCCTGTAAAATGGACAAAAATGTCCAAAATAAATTTGGTCATGCATTCCAGGCGGGGACCGTAAACCATTTCTCTCTCTGAACCCAAATAATCGATGAATGAATTCATGGAAGGAACTTATTCTATGTACGTCCAGGTGATGAATCTCATCAAGAACAAACCGGTGTTCCTCACAGGTCTTTACAACATATCGTTTCTATGATACACATAGCGTTACTTATTCCGTGAATTTGCCTAGAAAATAATTATGCAAGTGGCTGGAAATTCGTGTTTATTTTGATTCCCCCGGGGGGCGAAGAAAATTTGACTCTTTGGAAAGCATTTCCGTTCCTCGATGAAATTAAATACTCCGGTTTTTCCAAATGTTTTCAATGCAGCCCAGTATTGAATACATTCAAAGGTGCAAAATGGGTGTGATCTCTCATTTCTTCACAGTATGCGATCTAAACCGTGAGCTACGCGATTCACGGGTCAGCTGTTTAGTTTGTTTGTTTGCTCATCAGTCCCATCCACGCCCCCGCAGGCTCATCACAAAATTGCATGAGTTTGAGGATACACCCACTACGTCTACTATTCCAAGGGCATGCTCAAAACGCGTTTAGTGAAAAAAACAATGAACGAACGAGTAAATAACAATAAAACATTGACCACCTGGTGTGCTGGTCACGTTCTCATCTGCTGTGGACCAATCACAATTGTCCGTCGCCCAGTCGCTTTTTGTCATATTCATCACGAGGAATTTTGTGTGCATTAAATTGCGTATCTTTCACAATCAACGAAACTATTTGTGGAAGTGAGAATTGAATTCCATTGAGAATATTTTAATATCCGTTGTTGACCAGAATTTCTTATACATTCTACAGACATGAACTCCGGAGATGTTAAATTGTAAGCGACTCATTTGGGCTACCGACCAGTTTCGTCGATCGTATTCGCGAAGTTTAATTATGCGCGCTTGCAATCAGCACGCCGAGTGTGTTGACTTGGACTCAAAACGTTCCTCAACAGGATAAATAAACTATCGTTGTATCAATGAGCTCAGATGGAGATTTACGGTGTGTCAGTTTGAACACCGATTTTACAGAAATACGGACCGATCAATGAATGTGTGAAGGGTCATTAGCACGATAGTGGCACCATTTATGACCCCCAACAAGCAATCGAAAGTGATGAACTCATCCAGTGTCATTGCGATCGTAACTCCTGTAGGCGTATACCTTACATTTCATTTCAAAGTCGAGAGACTGAGGCAAGGAATAAAAAAGTTAGATCCCAAGACTTTTACCAAAGTCTGTGAAAACCTGTTTTTTTGTTAACTAAGATACATGATAAAGAAGATACCGTAGTGTTGCGATATATGTTTATTCGAGAGGAAACACAACGACATCGGGATCTAGTTGACGAATGGGAACGACTGGACGTTAAATCTGGATGTGTGGAGTCGATAAGAATCTTACGTGCAAAAATTTTCACGTGTATTCAACTGAATTTCGCACAGTTTAGTTACCAAACCCTCCAGCGGGAATGAAGAGACACGGCTAATGATGGTCAGTCCATGTCGAAGCAGTTCAAAATCTTTCTTTAGGAGATTGGAAAAAAGTAGCAGGTGAACAATAAAGTAAAACGGGGGAAACACACTGGTAAACTAAATTCTAGATAATTTATTGTTATATACGAAACTAAAAAGTTTGTGGATATAGAAAGAAAGTTTTCGAAGTTTACGGACGATATGTTGAATGTGAGAGGTTCAATGAAGATGAACATCGATAAGAACACCGCGGATACTGGTTCAGAGCCAATCGATACCGGTTCAGATGGGAAAGAAAAAAGTGATAACGTAAAGAGTTATTCGGAACATTTGGGGGGATTATGAGAGCCCCAATGTGGCAAAAAATTGTTGAACGTTTTCCAAGCTATCAGAAAATAGTAAAGACTAGAAGAATCGGAGATCACCTGATATAAAACCACATCGTCAGTGTGTATGAAAACAGAAGTAGAGGCGTTAGCAGACAAGTCCCTAATGTGCGTAGAAAATAAGTATGAAGATTGGACTGCACCTCAGAGTACCCCAGAATTGTCCCTCAAGTTTACGAAGAAGAATGGAAGGAGGAATGGAAGCAAAAACAGATGAGTAGTCCAGAAACATACACCTAGCATATTTCGCAGAGTCATTCAAGGATTCGGTCAGTTTATGTGCAAATGAGGAAACTGCATCTAGCGTGTACGTGTTTGGTTTGTAGGCAAACTGACGAAGATCATACGGGACATTAAAAAAGGATCAAATGCGCGTAAGGATAACAAGTTCAGCTAGTTCAAGAACAACAGAGGTTAAAGTGAAAGGACAGAAGTGATTGGTAAGAACGGTTGGGAATGGGAATAATTGTTACCGGCTTCCAACAGTCCGGTATGGAGAAAGTGTTTAAAGAAGTGTTTAAAATGATGCTAATATTTCACTAGGAAAATAGACTATATCTCAGAAGGTAAGGCTGAAAACCATTGGGATTCACAATGGATGTAGTTTTCAAGGTACGCAAAAACTCGAAAGTTTCATCTTTCGAAACAGCCTCTACTTGATCCGCGCCATCCTGAACAAATGGTGTGATAAAATCGCTTGATTGGTGGATAAATGCTGCATTAACACTGTCCAAATCAGATGTGCCATACGGATTTTTGGCTTTGATCCCAAACAGTAATTTGAGACCTTGCCAAATTCACCTACTATCGTTACATTGTAGAAGCTGGGAAGCGTAGGATACAGCGAGGCGTTTGACTTCAGCTTTGATCAGATTAAAATAATACTTGATAGCCGTCGAGTCTCTAAATTTGTACGACCATTCCTCTTGTCTTCGGAATGATTTCAACGGTAGGGGTGTTATTCTGCCTTTACATACAAATATAGTTTCGAAAGAACAGTATAATTTGAGCATGCAATTGAGTGCTTCAGTGAATAAGTTTACTGCATTATGAAGATAAGAACAGGAAGAAAGTCACGAAGAAACGACACTAATGGAACGCTGAAGAAGAAGACTGTTTCTCGAGGAGAGATTACGAAGGCGATTGGTGATTTGGTAGGTTCTTGTAAGTGTGTTGTGAATGGCACGAGAATACACCGTGAGTTTTATGGGCTTCAAGACGTGATCACTAGTGAATCTAGGTGCAGTGAGTTTAGGTCAAAATGTTCCGGGTGATTGGGAATTACTTTATACAAAAATGAATCACCTTTACTGGGGAATAGGTTATTATCAATTAGGCCAAAAGAGGTTATGAAATAAGCGGATGCGTGATTAAAATCACCAACAACAACGTGGAGATTGTCGTCCTTCAGGGAACCAAAGACGGTGTGAGTGCATCAAAAGAGGATGATATGTGAAACTGAGTACAAAAGAGACCTATGTATCAATCGACAATGATTGTGCTTCTATATCGCGAATATGTAGGGGAACACTGAATAGCTAAAAAGTCGAGGCCTTTGGCAGAATAATCAAAAAGATCCTCAAACTTGCCCCGCCAGGAAGAGGTGATGCAGGTGATCACCGAACCTTCAGTTGTCTTCCTGCAGTGCTTTTGGTCCTCAGGGAAGCATTTGAAATCATTGATTTCAACTAATGAGTTTTCCATGTATTGATCAAACCAGAAACGGATGAAATAAATGTCCCAGACAAAGCCCAACTTCCGCATTACTCAATCCCGCAAGTTGATTATACCACTGTAAAGAACAAAAAGGCAGTGTTAATAATACAAAATGATACAAGCTTTATGTTCAGCTTCGGCAGCGTCACAAATAAATTTGACCCTTTCGGAATTCCGAGGCAAGCTATCTTCTGTGGACATCTATGCGAGTAATCCCAAGATAGATAGATGGATAGATAGATAGATAGATAGATAGATAGATAGATAGATAGATACCTCGTATCCTTTGATTACGCCTGTACAGTTTATTTCCGTTTCCTATCAACCACAGTTTATGATCATTCAAAAACCTTCTTCGGAGCTCATCGATATCTGCGTATCCCAGTCACTTTGGTAAAGTGTCAACTGAAATGCTACGCTCTCATTTCTTCCATCCGATCCCATCTGTTGGGAACTCCGTGCGCAGTATCTACCACAAATACCAGATGCCAATTTGCTTTCCGGTTTTGGCCATTCAAAACTGTGCGTGAGGTAAATGATTTTTTGGTCGTACATCCAAATCAGAGCCAATCTGACATCAATTTCCGGTACCCCCCTTGAATTCGATTCTACAGGAAACGCGTACGACAAAATTGTCGATCAACCAAGACAATGGAATGAGTCTAATAGCTCAGGGTGATTCATTCCTCTCCCACACACTCTCTCTCTCTCTCTTGTAAACGTTCTCTTCGAGTTACTCGAATGAACAGCATTCGTTAACCGAACACGACATTAAATTTAGTATCGCTGTAGCTCAAACGTCATTTTACGCTTGATTTATGGTTTAGTTAGACCCTGGGGTTAACCCTC